CGCGATGTTCGCGCAGCTTGCCAATGCAGAGCTCGGTCAAAGCAACGTGGTGGTGTTTCGGGCCCCGATACGAGGTGCTAAGGTTACAGTGTGAGCAAGAGTGAGCGCATGAGAGTATGGATCAGAGGAAGAATCGTGAATTGCCGATACGACGCTTCCATGAAGCAGATCCGCGCTATCGCAATCGAATTTGGAGTCAGCAACAGCAGGTATAGATCTCGACAATCTCCATACACGAGCTCGAGTCCCGCACGTTCTCCAGTCAGCATCAAGCATCGGACTAGGCAACCTTGAACCCAGTCCGTGCAGAATGCCCAGTAGGGGAGCCTGGACCTTTCTTAAAATGTCCGAAACCAATTGTCATAAGTGCTGGTGAGATGTGGCGCTCCTCTATGCAAACACCTCTTTATGAAAGCAGAAGCGTGCTAGTTGGGTCTCTGAACACATGCACAGCACGATGGCATGTATGCCACCGGCCCATTCCCCGTGAAGATAGTGGACATACTCGGCTGTCTGCCCTAAAAAGTAAAGGCCTGCATCGACCAATATCTCCCCGACACCTGCCCGAGGGTATCTAAATTGAGGCGTTTGGGTGCTGTGTATTGGTCCATGAGTTACCCAGGCTGTTGGGCGCTTCATTCAAACCAGCGAGACAACCGTCAATTCTGATGCTACAAGCTGATCTAGAGATCAAGCTAGGTCACATTATCCCTCGACCGAAGTAACCATGTCAATCAGCCTGCTTCTCTATGCTGAACACGAGTCAAGTCTCTCTCCAAGAAGCACCCATCACCGAACAAGGTGAGATCGGACCCGCCGGCAGAGAGCCAGAACGACGATTCCACTGGGCAGATTATGCGTGCCAGGTGGTTCAAATGTGGAATTTTATGTCGCAAGTACGAGGTCCGTACCTGCAAGGATCAGTAATTTCCCCCCCACGGCACACCCGCGACTTAGTGAGACGACGGGGAGGTGGCGGCTTTGTCCTGTGATCTAATTGAGAAGGCGTCTCTCTGCCATGCGGCTTGCGACACCGCATTGCACCGTCGTGGTTGCAAACACAAAAAGGATGATTCATCTTGGATCAAGGGCTGGGACAAGCTCCTCGAGCAACAAGTTTGTTGCCGTGTCCTGGACAAGCTCAATATGGACAACTCGAGAAGACTCCCGCGAGTTTACCTTGAGCAAAGTTACCGTAGAATGGGCTTCATAAGTGCGGACACCCATTGTGCTGACACTCTTCAGATAAAAGGCTGCGTCCTATCGGCCGTCGCGATGTAATGGCTCGTATCCGAATCGCTCATGAGTCATCTCGAAGGCATTAATCAAGAACAACATGTCCTCCATCGAGGCTTACTATCGACAGCGGAGACCAGTCAGCACGTCCGAAGCGTGTGTGGGCGCAGCAGTAGCATTGATTCCGTACATGCTAGCAGCACAGCCAGATCCGTATGATACGCATAGGATACGGATGTTAGCTAGGTCATCGCTAATTGCCAAGGCCAACGAGAGCAGACTTGCATAAAGTGGGCACGTGTACGTAGTAGCATTTTGGGCACTTATGGCGATGCCAGCCTAAGCATGCTTCCAGAAGAAGTCCTCGTGCTGAGCCTTGGTAAGTTTGCCATAAGCCATCTCACACATAAACCTCAGGTTCCTTTTGGAGTGATAGGGGGCGTTGCTGTGGTAAACGACGCAGTCGAATACACGCAATAGGCCTTCTTATCCTGTGGTATCGCTGAATCATCGCTAGCACCAGCTCATTGCCTCTTCGTATTAACCTGTTGCGATGCTGATGTCCATAACTGCATCGTTTGTGTGCCATCCAACAGGGCGATAGAAATCCCACGAGTGTTTTATGAAGGTTATGCGCTCTCGCAAGAGCAACAATGGCGCCTACGCGGCCACGACCAGAGATATTGAGGAGGCTCCAATGCCAGAAATATGGGCAGGATCTGGGTGAATCGCCGGGTCGGAACAGACGACAATACCATACGCACCTTTCTAAGCTCAACCATGAATCCAGTTTGTGGTACTGAAGAGAGCGTTTGTTCCGCCGTAGCAGGCATTGAAGGTGTCGAGGCCTTCGACACTGTGGTGGTCGTCAGCCTCAAACAACGACATCAAGAACGACTTGGTTGACTTGCCTCTGTCCACCGCACTTTCGGTGCCAACCTCGAGGCGCCCAACCTCTGTAAACAACAGCTCGAGTTATCGGAGCAGCTTAGTTACGCTCGACAATGCCATCGAGACAGTATCTTCGCCGTCGCTCATGAAAGTGATGTTTTCCTGTCCGCGCCCAATCATGTATCTCCCAGGACTGCCATGGAATGCTTCCGCACCGGAGGCTCTCAGGCACTATGTTGGAGCATGGTAGGAAAGTGCTGCAATGCCGACAGCCTCGAGTTTGAAGGCTATGCTTGCATCATTTATTGGAGCCAAGGAAGAGCCACGTATTTGTATGTGAATCCCGCTCGCTACAACGGTGCGACCCCACGATGCCGCGTCTGCCACCAGAAAACGCTCGGTGCAATTTGAGACTATCGCATGATACAGACGCT